TTATATATAATTATATTTTTTTAAATGAATAAAATAACAAATAACATAAATAAATTAAAAGTTCCTTATATAAAAGTATTTTTAACAAAATTTGTTCATTCACATAAAATTTATTATATTAAATAAGTACATAATCAATAAAATTACAAATAATTTAGTAAAGATAAAAATAAAATATTATAAATTGAAAATAAAATATTATAATTTATTATGAAATATAATGGCATATATAATTTTATAATCAAATATCATATATTTAATTATCAATATTAATTGAACTTTTTTGACTAGGCATTAAATCTTTCCATGAATTAACACCATACATTCGCAATAAGGTTTTTTTTTTTAATATAGATGTCGATAAAGACCTAAAAATTTATTTATAAAAAAATTGCATTTTACAATCAATATGAAAAAAATTAGAACTTACTCTTTTATCTCATCAACAATAGGATTAATCATTGTTGTAATAGCAACTTTTGAAAAATGAGTAAGTTCGGATAAAGATTCGGTTTTTTCAAAAGAATAATTTATATAAGAATCATGAATAAAATTAATGAGTGTGTTAAATGCTTTAACATAATCATCTGTTAATAACTAAAAAATTATGATTATGAAAAATTACTTTCAATATTCAATATATTTTTTATATTGATAAATTTTATACTTAATTTGTTTATATATTAAAAGAATTTACCACTAAAGAAAAAAATCCAGGATTATTAAGATGTTGATCCATATATATGTTTCTTGATTTTAATATTAATTTTGTATAAAAATTTTTCATATATTCTGGTTCTTCCATTTCTGGTGTCTTAAAATAAATTATAAATTTATATTTTTATCTTTATGATCATATATATTAATTAAATAAAGTATCAATTTTAATACTATTTTTATTGGTAATTCTTCGCTAGAAATTGATTCAATAAATGCTAACTCTCCAGTTGGATCTAATTGCATTAATGTATCACGACGTTGCAGAAGTTTTGCTTGATGTCTTTTACGTTTTAATTCTTCATCCTCTATTATAATATTTGCATGTTCATCTAAAATTACCTAAAAAGAAACATAATTATTGTGATACATTGATATTTTATATGCTAAGAAACCTTTAATATATATAATAATATTATAATAATAAATACTCGTAATTCTTTATTTTCATCTAACAAAATTTCATAATCTTTTATTTCTGAAAAAATTTTTTGTTGTGGAAATTTATTATTATTATGTAATACTTTGTCTTCCATTTCTGTTAGATTTTGTTTTTCTATTTCTATATTTTTATTAAATAATGTTTTAAATAAAACATCAGTTTCTATTTCATCAATATATTTTATAGATGTAATATTTAAAATTGAGTTAAGATTATTTATAATCTATAAACAAATTTATAAAGATAGTTATAAAATTATAAAAATTATAGTAAAAGAATAAAATTATTCATACATTATTTAATATGTCTTTAATAAAATCTATATCACTTTTTGTAGATATTATCTTTTTTTCAGAAACTAAATTTTCTTTACTATCTTTTTTTTCTGCATTATCTTGTAGTGTACTAGTGTAAACATAAAACTTTTCTTTTATCCATTCATGATGAATTTTTACATCTTTTGTGAGAACAAGGATTGCTTTACTATTGGAATACCTTTTACTCATTTGAATAGTTGCATGTAAATCTGTTTGTGTGATACCAATTTTTTTTTCTAATTTTAAGGAAACAATTTCACTGTGATCTATATATAAATATAAACAATTAAAAAATGTTTTGAAAAATACTATTATTTTAATTTATTTGACTAACGAAATCCATAGCTATGTCCCAATAGTTCTTGAATTGCTAAAAATTCCCCACGACGAGACATATCATTAAATTCTTCTCTAGTTACAAAAATATAATATGGATTTTCAGTTTTAAGTATATCTGAATTTTTTGTTGAATACCATGGACAGTATTTGACCTATAACAAATTATTATTTTAATTTTATATATTAATAAGTATTAGAATATTACTTTTGTTGATAAAGTTTGGGCAATATGAAGAGCCAAGGACAATTTTTTTACTGCACTTGGACCTGTAAGTATTATCAAAGGTGGACTTAATTCATCATATGGTGTTACATGTAAGTCAATTTTAGGGATGCTTAATTGTTCTAATAAAGTTAGTTTTGTGATAGTACGAGCAGCTGTTAAATTTATTGGTGATGTAAATAAAGTTGCAGCAGCAATCTATTAAAATAAATATCTTATAGAGATTAAGATCTATCATCTTATAGAGTAATATAATATTTAATATTTAATTATATATACCTTTTCTGAACTAAATACATTAACACCATCAATAATTTGTATACTTGGTATAGAAAATAAAAGTACAGCTTTATAATTAGGCCATTTTGTGCAACTATTACCTCTAAAATCTACTTCATGTATTAAGCCCTTCAAATTTTGTAATTCTAACAAATCATTGATTCTATTAAATTTTAAATCTATTATCCGCAAACTGTATGCATCCTAAAGTATCAAACAAATATTTTTTAAACTTTGAATAATTATTAAATATAAATAAATATATAATTTATAATATAAAAATTATTACCTTAAAAAATTCTAAAGAAGATATTTTATTATATCCTAAATATAATTTTCGCAAATGGGATAAAATATTTATACCATAACCAGGAATAGCACATTTGAATGATAATATACAGTTAGCCTCTAAATTTAATTCTTGAATATTTAATTTATCCAAATTTTCAATATATTCAATTAAATTGTATGATAAATTTAAATATTTCAAATATCTAAAAATAGAATATATATATTATATATATGTATACATAAGTAAAATTATATTTATTTATTTAATTATTTTATTTATTATATTTTATTTAATTATATAATAAAAGGATATATATTTACTTCAAATTATGCAAACCAGTAATAATCTCAATTGCATTATGTGATAAATCTAAATGAACAATACTCCAGAAATCACTAATATCACACATTTTTGTTATATAATTATATGATAAATTTACATATGTCAAATACCAAGGAGGTGAAAAATTTAAAATTGTATTCATTCTATTATGTGCTACATTTAAATACATTAAATATGGAACTCCTTCTAAAGGTGATAAATTTGAAATATAATTGTATGCAAGATCAATATATTGTAAATAACGATGATAACTTAACATTGTAATATTTGAAAGTGACTATAAATATAAAAAAAATATATAAATATATATTCTACAAAATACTATAAAATATTTTTCTAATATAAAATAATATACCATATTTCTCATAATACATTTACTTAATATGTAAAGACCATTTTCAGGAGATTTAGTTAAAAATGATTTTCCACTTCCTATTAATCTATCAGTAACAAACCCACAGAATTCTAAATCATCAAATAATATTTCCTTAAGATTTCTTAATTTTACAATAGGTGCTTTATCATCATTCCATAAATTAAAATCTAAAGAATGAGAGCTCCATTTATTTTCAGTTACACATTTTATAATTCTTTCATCTAGTGTAATTGCTTTTTCATCAAATAATGAAAATGGAAGATCGAACTATAGAAATGAAAAAAAATTTTAATTATTTTAATTATGTCAAAATAAAATTTATTTTCTCCTTCCTTCCTTTCCTTTCTCCTAAAATAGAGCAAAAGTTACATTAAAAGAAGTATCTGTTGCAATTGATGTTAAATCATCTAAAATTTCATAAGATATATATGAATCTCCTTTCCAACTCATCTGACTATGTGACAATAGATCTGAATCTTCTTCAATAAATGTATCATCTTCTCTTAAAGGTTCTTCTGGAATAGAAATTTTACTAATAGCATCATCAATAAATAATGGTTCCGAAGGAGAAAATAAATAAGAAAAATTATTCTGTAATTAAAATTATAGAAATTAATTTTTACATAAATATCAGTTTTAATATAAAAATATTATAAATCTATTTCAAAAATATAACTTTACTTTATTGTCATCCATTATTTTATTTAACATTAGTTATTTATGTATCTTTGCAATAATTATTTTTTATTTAAAACTATTAATATAATTTTCTATTGTTTTTAACAACTGAATGTAGATACCAAAGAGTTACCAAATATATAAAAAAAAAATTTTGTCATAAAATTTATCAAAATAATTTTATTTATATAATAATAATTTTATAAATCTTGTGCTAAAATTTTTAAAGTTACATCTGAAAAACGATAATGATGCCATCCTTCTTCTACAGTTATGTTAATTGCTCCTTTATTTTTATAGAACTCTTGTGCAGGATTCCATTCAAGAACTGAAAAATCCAATCTGGAACAATTATTGTCTATTGCTTCCTACAAATGTGTATATATGGATATAATACATTGATATGTAATTTATTATAATATAATTTTTTATATATTTTAGAAAATGTACTTTAGCAATGGTTTTTAATAATCTACTACCAATATGTTTTCCTCGATAATTAGGTGTAATATATAAATCTTCCAAATACATAGCTTTTCCATACCATGTTGAATATGTGTAATATAATATTGTATATCCTATTATATGTTTATTAATCTCTGCTACATAACATATAAACAAAGGGTGTTCTGTATCAAATCCATCAGTTTCCAAAACTGTAAATATTCTTATATAAATTTAAATATTCACTTACAGTAATAATTTACACTTAGTAATAAAAATTTTTACTTGAACAATCAATTTTAGGTTCATTTGACATATTCTCAAAATCAGCTAATTCCTAAAAAAATGTGTAATAATTAAAAATTTTTTTGTGATATTATAATACATAACAATAATAAATTATATATTAAAACTACCTGTATTAAATTTCTAATAGCTTTGCAATCTTCACGTTTTGCTTTACGTATTATTATCTCGTCCATATTTAACCTTATTATTTAAATTTTAATAATACACGAATATATTTAAAAATTGATTATAACCTTTTATTAAAACATAATATAATATATTTATTATTAAAAATGTAGAATCAGAATATTTAAAAAATTTAATTTATTAAAAAAATATTTAAAATTTATTTAAAAATTAAAATATAAATGATTTATTTATCTATAAATTGTATTTATTTATTAACAAAAAATTATTAAAAAAGTTATTAACAAAAAGATCTTCAGAAAATGTACATATAAATTATGCATTGTAACACATTTTTTTGTTTAAATTTAAATAACATAAAAAAGAATATGTATAATTTTGATTATAAATTCATGAAAATCAATATAATTATATAATTGTATAATTATATGTTTAAAATTTAATATATAAATAATTAAATGATATATTTAAATTAATTACAAAAACTAGCATTCATATCAATTCCAAATTATAAAAGCAACCATAATTTCCGGTATGATCCGACGATGACTTCCTGTAACTGGCCATTTATGTTCATTCGCGATCGGTGTGTCGTATGATATGGTTGTGTGTGATTTGTGGTGACTTTACGGAAATATTCGGGTGATTTATTTGCAGTCCTCGTGTATTTCGCGTTCAGAAAAATAAACAGAAATAAAACGAACAAAATGTCTGAGATTGACGCAAAAGTGAACATGTCGCTTGGTAAGTGGCCAAAGTCTCGAAAATCTAGCAGTTTTGCTGATAATCCTGGGTGAGCGTACGGCTACTGTTTCTTCTTTTGCACGAATTCAAAATGGCGATGAAATTATACAACGTAGATCTACATTTATTTTCCTTCGTTTGATACCTAATGGTACTAAATCTCGGAAAAAAATTTATATCAGTCGCCGAACAAATTTTTGATGCAGAATCGTTTCATCTCCCTAATTAATTCTTAAATCAAAAGACAGACAAGTTTTAATCATTGTTTACTTATGGGAGAATATGTTGCGTCTTTCCAATTGCTGGAAGAAAATGTTTTTGTTATTTATGATGATTGATTAACCAATATGATGATAAGTGTGCATTCCGGATTTTTAAAAGAACTATTCAATTTCGACCATACATATAATAGGAACGAACGGTACGGGTTTCTACGGCGGATAGTAATGAAGAAAAGTATAGCCGCCATGAAGGATTTATGCATTTTAAGAAAAATACTGATTTACGTAGGATTTGTGGAAAGGGATTTCTTTTAACAATAAACGACAATTTATCGAATGGAAAATTGACGAACATGAACGAGACGCTTTTGGATAATAACGCAAACAAAGTTATAATTTATACTTCACAAAAAGAAGTCAATTTTCACATTACGTGAGATATATGTTTGCGTAACTTTAGTCGTATTTTTATCTCTGCTATCATGTTCCTCGAGTTTCTCTTTGTTGATGTGATGGACTTGAAACACTACCATATATGAGATAAAAACATTGAAATTTTCGAATCGATTTTATTTTCAATGCACTACGTGTTTTGATATGAAAATATATGAATTGTCATTTGTGACAAATACTCATTGTTGAATTTGAAATTTAATTAAATTACAAAAGAAACTGGTTGAAACGTTTTTCATAAAAGAAACGATTATGAATCTGCACTACAGAATAATTTATCTTTATGATATATATATATATTTTTCATGATATTTAGAATTAGCAGAAGCATTTTTTTAAACAAATCAAAAATAAAACGCTCAACTGATCATGATTGTTTAATAATTATTTAAACAATAAAAATACATGAAAGTTCAAGAAGATCCATGATTAAATATCTTAACTAAGTCAATTATTAAATAAAATATATGGTACATTTTAATATTCAATAAACGAAAGCGAATTTTTTGACAAACTTTTGCTAAAAGCAAAATGGAAAAAATATATTATTGGATTTTAATGCTTATATATGAAGATTTTGTGAATAACATTAGATGCAAAAGGAGATGATTTTCACAAAGATTTACTTTTGAAGCAATCCAATATTCCAAGAAATATTACTACAGCATATTATCAATAATATGCTTATTCAATTCTAATTTTTGTTCAATGTAATTGATATAATATCCTAATATTATCTGAATAGCAATATAATATTTATATATTTCTTTAAACAATGAACATTGAGTAATATTTTTAATACATGGAACTGAAGTGGAAAAAACGGAGCAAATCTCAGCAAACAATATAATATAAAAACTATATCTTGAAGATATACATTGAGTTAAAGGAAAAATTGAAATATGTCAAGCATCTAAATGTAAAAAGCATGAAGAATTGTCAATATATAAGAAAATATGTATATCAATATTAAGGAAAAAATAATTGACACTATTGGAAGATTAAAATAAAAATTATACAAAAGAAAGAAAATTTATAAAATATAGAAATTTATGCAAAAAAGAATAAAGAATATAATACATTGTTATTTATTAAATTGGCCAATAATGCTTTTCGCATAATAATAAATAATTCTTTTTTTTTTTTTCATTTAAAATGAAATTTTGTATTAAAATTATAATTCCAAAGTAGTATATTATGAAAAAATATATAAAAATCATTTAATAAAATTTATACATCTATGTATATAATATATAATATATAATATACAATATATATTTATTTTATATAAAATAGTTATATTTTTGAAGAATTAAATTTTATCTTCAGAATTATAATATTTCAATACTTTTATCATTTTTATTTAATATAATGTATGAGACTTTAATTATTTTTTATTTAATATCATATTTAAAAAATTATTTATATATTTTAATTTTAAAGGCTGATTAATAAACAGGAATTTTAAATTACTGTTTTATTATATTTACTTTAAACATTTTAATAGATATGTATGTATATCTAGACCATACTCGATGAGATTATTTTGAAAACATATACATATTGGAAGAAAATCAGGGAAATAATTAAAATAAATAAATATTGATAAAAACTGATATCATTAAAGGAATTAAATAAAAACTGAATTAGCCATATTGAGTTGTCCTTCAACATCATCCATACAAGAGGAAATTTTTCACATATTCCAGATTAAAGCTTAACACAAATTAACTTCATGCACTGTACGCTCACTAAACCTTGTGAATTTTCTTCCTTTTAAGATGAGATCATAAAGATGGAGAAAAAGGAGAAAAAGAAAAAGGCTGGGACTGCTAATGGAAAATCTGGTGCTAAGCGCACTCGAGGAAGTGTGCGAGGGCGAAGTGGACTCAGGGGTAGAGGTGCTAGAGTGAAGCGTAATACTGGAACTGCCAAAAAAGAACAAACATGGCAAGCTGGACAAAATAATAATAACAATAACAATAATAACAATAATAATAATAATAATGTGCGTGGTGGTTTTGTGAGAAAACGATATAAGAAAAATAGTGGTCTCACTCGATCACGAAGTAATTTAACATTAAATCAGAAATCAAATACACGAGGAGCTTTTAATGTTCGCCGTGGTCGTGGCAATAGATTTGGTCTGACTCGTAGTAGAAGTCGTACAAATTTGACTTTTACACAAGGAGGTTTTTTTACCAATAATAAGACTCCATTAAAAAGAACAAATAGTTTACCAAATTTACGCGATCCAACTTCAGTTCATAATCGATTGGGATATCAGAGTCCTGCCCAAATTGCTTATCGAAATCGTGTTAAAAGAGCAAAACAGTTACTGCTTCAAAGACAAAATCAGAAATTATCTCTGCAAAATCAATTTAGAGTAAGTTGATATTACATATAAGCACTTAATTATAAAGATAATAAATTTGAAATTAAATTAATTATTTATTTTTTTATAGGTTCCACAAACTGGAAAATCATTATTATCACTCCAACAAAGATCCACAGATAGAAGACAACAAATTTTAACTTCTCAACGTCGTTTTACTACTGGTGGATTACGATCAGATCAAATTGCCCGTGCACAAAGACGAGCACAATATGAACAAAAATTAATGAGAATGAAGTATGCTTACACATTTCATAATTTATTTTTTTAAATAGTGTATAAAAAAAATTTATAAAACTTTAGATATTTTTTAAAATAAAATATAATATTTTATTTTTTCTTTATATTTCGTGTTGGAATCTTATTGAAATCATACAATGTTGTAGTTCTTCGCGATTAAGTACAAACTCAAATGTAAACTTCATGTGTACATTGGGAAATGAGTATAGTCCTAGTACGCACCAACGCCCTCTTACTCTTACACCAAATCGAAACGGAAGTGCTGTAAACAGTTTACGCCCATTACCAAGAGGACGGTCTCCATTTAGACAAAGTGTACAAAGTTTGAATATGGTATGAATATTTATTATAAGAAAATTAAAAAAAAATAAAATTGAGTTTTTATTTGATATATCTATAATATAACAAAATTTATATTTCAGGTTGGTCGATCACCTATGTTTGGTCGACAACGTTCGAGATCAAGGTCGCGTTCCCGTTCTCGTACACGTAATACTCCATCATCAGATACAGGAGCAGATGTTGATGATCGTACATTTAGCGAAGTCATGTACAGCTTGTCTGGAAATCTTGGCGTTACAGGAAGAACACTTAATGATAGATTTAGTTTTTAAATTAAAGTTTGTTTTGTATTTAGAATATAAGACTGTTGAGGCCAGACATTTTATTGCTTGAAACATAAATATCCAATATTGTAATTCTGTCTTATTAATTGTATTGATAGTAAAGTTGCTTCATGTAAAAAGTAATTCATTTAATTCAAATATTTTCTATTTTCTCTATTTCTATTTTAAACAACATGCAAATTATTTTTAAATTCTAAAGTATAAAAAATTTATATTTCAAAATATAACAAATATTGAATTTATAATAAATTCAATATTTGCATTATCTTATATGTTTGACATTATCTTACAATATTTTACCATAAAAATTTTGTAAGACTAGTTGGTTTATATTTTCTTTATAATAAATTTTTGTTATAAATTTAATATTTGAAAATGAAATGGTAAAATTTTATATAAGAAACTATCAGAATTTTTTGAATATTAAATATAAATTTTGATTCTTTATTAATGAGTCAAGATTTTGTTAATGTCTTAATGATATTTTGATCTTAAATTTGTATTTTGAAATTGCGTGATTTCAATATAATTTTTCTTATATTAAACTTAATAAATTTTTAGAAAAATATGGCCTCAATAACACATTTAATTTAATTAATCTAAAAATATCTAAAAATTAAATATAGTAATATTAATACAAAAGATTGAAATCATTAAATATTATAATTACATTCAAATTATAAGAATTAAAAATTTTGTTAAGGATGTAGTTCCTAAAGTAAGTATAATATTGAATTTAAAAATAAATGTATAATTATAGATATAAAAAATATTTACATTTGAAATATATTGAATACAATATATCAATGAAATATAAGCCTATGATATAGTATAAATTTTTTTTTTTTTATTATATATTTTAGTAAATTTAAGTGCTTGTAAAAAAATCATATATAAATACAATATAAATTGATTTTTGAAATTTTATTTTATTTTATTAATGTAATATAATACGTATGTTTTTTTAAATATACAGGATATTAATATGCTTGTAGCCAAAATAAATACAAAAATGTCAATAAGAATTTATTTATTAAATTATAACAATTGAAATTTGTTTGGTGAAGCAAGACGAAAATAAAATGAACTCTGTTTCGCTCTCATATTTTGTTTTCGCTTCGTTTCATCTACTTAAATTGCTTATAACTTGATAAATAAACCGATATTTTTGTATATCAATTTCTGTATTTGTTTTTGTTTTAGAAATTCTTCAAAAATTACAAATACATTAACACCTATATATATATAAAATATACATATATAAAAAATAAAAACATTGAATCTTCATTAAAATATAAATTATATTTATTAAACGTATAATATAGTTTATTGAAATTTATCTTATTGAATGTTAATTTATAAATCTATTCAATAACATGCATAAATATAATAATCTTTATGAGACTTATATATTTTTTATTAAAATATTTTTAGTAAATAACTTTTATAGTAAATATTTAGTATTATAATTATAATTACAACGTTATAAAATTCTATATCCATCGCCTACTTGACTTCAAATTTATATTTTCACTTAAAGTTATAAGTTCAAGTATATTGCTTTTGCAAACATACTTCTTGTAATTTTTTATATATAAAAACATTTTTTTTCGCGTAATTTCGTAAAAACTAAATAATTTTCTGTGTCGGTATATTAAGTAAGCTTCTTTTATATAGCTATAAAATTATTTAAAATTAATTGTCGGCAATATGTCTATTAATGTCATCGTGCCATTTATATCATTTTATGTTCGAAGAATAGAAAAACAGGTAGATAACATAATTTAAATATTCATATACGATAAATATAAATACAATCACTAAAAAAAATATTTTCAGTTTTTAAATCGTGTTTCTGCCACTATTCAACAAACTCGAAACCTACAAATTCATGAAAATCTTGCTTATACTTTATTAAAAGATGCTGGAATTCCAACACCACCGTTTGGAGTAGCTAAAACTCCAGAAGAAGCAGAAAAAATAGCAGCGAATCTTAATACAAAAGATATTGTTCTAAAAGCTCAAGTTCTTGCTGGAGGACGTGGAATAGGACATTTCAAAGACACCAATGTGAGAGGTGTTGTTATGTGTGAAAGGTGAATTTAATTATTAGAATATTATAGTATAATTTTCAATTATGCTGTATGTTATACTTTACTTCGTAATTTTATTTTATGTAATTTTTAGTCCCACAGAAGCTAAAACTGTGGCTAGTAGTATGATAGGCAAATTATTAATAACTAAACAAACTGGACCGGCTGGTAAAATTTGTAATTCAGTAATGGTAACGACACGTATGTTTCCACGTAAAGAATATTATATGTCAGTAATGTTGGAAACCTCTTTTGATGTAAATTATTCTTCATTAAAAATAGTCATTGAATTTGTTATTCAAAATAAAAAATATATATATAATTTAGGGTCCTGTAATAATTGTATCTAAGCAAGGCGGTGTAAATATTGAAGATATTGCTGCTACGAGTCCGGAAGCTATATCGTATACGCCAATAGATATTATGAAAGGTTTAACACTTGAACAAATAAATAAAATTGTGGATAATTTAGGTCTTGAAGGGGAAGGAAAAAAAATTACTTCCATAATTATTTGCAATCTCTATGAGTTATTTATTGAAAAAGACGCTTTGTTACTTGAAATTAATCCATTTGCATTAGACATTTGTGAAGAATGTATGTTTTAAATAAAATGTTTTAAAAATTTATTTAATTAAAAATTATTAAATTAAAAATATTAATAAATAATAATATAACACATTTTTAGATTTTGCTTTAGACTGTAAATGTTCTTTTGATGACAGCGCAGAATTTAGACAAAAAGAATTATTTACTCTACAAGATATGTCACAAGTTGATCCTAGTGAAGTTCATGCAACTAAATTTAATTTAAATTACATACATTTGGATGGAAATATAGGATGTTTGGTAAATGGAGCTGGATTAGCAATGGCTACTATGGATGTAATAAAAATGAATGGCGGTTTTCCAGCAAATTTTTTAGATGTTGGTGGTTCTGCTGACAAAGAAGCAGTAACAGAAGGTTTTAAAATAATACTATCTGATCCAAATGTACTTATAAATTTAAAAGTAATCAAAATAAATTTTTTATTTAAAAATAAAATCAATATAAAATTCATTAAAATCTTTAGGTAGAAGCAATATTCGTAAATATTTTTGGCGGTATTATGAGATGCGATATAATCGCACAAGGTATTATTGCTGCATCCAAAGAATTACAAATAAAAGTGCCAATAGTTGTAAGACTGCAGGTAATTTATTGATAACACATGAATAAAAACTGTATTTAATTAACAAATTTTATTCTATTATATAGGGAACTAGAGTAAAAGAAGCAAATCAATTAATAAAAGATGCTCAATTGAAAGTTTTTGTTGAAGAAGATTTTTCTACGGCTGCACTAGCAGCTGTAAAATTAGCTTCAGTAATAAAAATTGCAAATTCTTTGAATTTAGAAATGGATTTCAAAATTAAAAATAAGCCTAGCAAATAAAATCCAACATTTTATATTTTTAAAATTACAATTTAAAAGATATATATAATAATTATTTTGAATATGTAAGATAAAATAATTTTCGATTTATATTTTATATATACAGAGTGTTAACATTTTTAGAGAGTTGATTTTAGAAATAAAAGATAAAAATTAATAAATAAAAATATAAATAAAAAGATTTATTTATTAAGTTATAAATAATTTAAGTAAATGAAATAATGCGATAGAAATATAATCGAAACAAAGTGGTTCACTCTTGTTTCTTGTAATATAAATTTTCATTCCTTATAATTTAATAAATAAATCTTAACTGATATTTTTGTATAGAATTTTAATCAATTCTCCAAAAATGTTTTATGGATATGTTAATATTTTATATTAATTATTTTAAACGATAATGTCTATAAAACACGAAATAATGAACATTTATATATTTTTTCTTTATTCTTTTTTATAATATATAAATTTATATGGAATGTATGTAAAAGATAAATATAAGGAATAAATATTTTTCTTCAAAAATATAAATATTATAATGAAATTATATTCTAGTTTATTATATTTTTTTAAAATATGATGAATTTTTGAATTTCAATTGTGTTTAAAATATATTATAGAGATAATTTATAAAAGCAAAATTATATATTAATTAATAAAAAAGTAAAATATAAAATATATATTACATTCTATATGTTATAAATACGTAAATAAATAAATTAAATTTTCATAGAAGTATTTATAATGTAAAATAGTGCTGCCACCATGATCTTCATTCGTAGAATTTGCGTCATGTTTTTGTAGTAAATATCAAGAAAGGTGGGGACATGAAGGCGCAAGTTACGTTTCGCAGTCCACTGCCACTATTTAGTAAGATGGCTACTATGTTGTCTCGGACTATCTCACTCGTTGAAAATCTTACCCGATTTAATGGATCGAAGGTATGATTTATATTTTATTATATCACATATTATTATATCATTTATTTTTGGGAATTCATATTCGCATATATCCTTTAATTCTATTTTTCTAAATTTTTCGATATCTACGTCATTGATTCATAAGTAAGATAATCATTATATTAGATGGTTGTCTGCTAAATTAGGCGCCAGGGTCAGATGATTCGAAGCCAAAGATAGTAACCTTATGTTAAACTTAGTTTTTTTACGAAATATGTACATGACAGTTGTATAATATGAGCGTAGACATTTCCATCATCAATTTTTGATTTGTTGGTCACTAACTCTATTCTATTCTATTCATTTGTATTTAATTAGTAGTTATTAAATTATGCGAAAATAAATACTATTTGTCAAATTACGAACAATTGTCATTTTTTTTAAAAATTCAAAATTCAAAATTTAAATAATCGAATATCACTATCGATTATTTGAATTATTTTCTTAGAGAATTATTTTTTTCTTTTTTAGTAAATTTTATTTTATTTAATTTTAATAGCTATATTTTTTATTTGTTATTTTTTCTTGTTATGAATACATATAAAATTGAAATATTAAAGATAAAATAAACTAAGTGTCAAGGATGTGATTAAAAGTATATAGGTCATTATCACTAATTGATTTTTAGTTTAGAATATTTTTAAGTCTTAAGGTTTAAATTTAGTCTATAATATCAAATTCTGTTTTTATCTATTATTATTATATACATATTATTATATTTATTATTATTATATACATAATAGATATTTTATAAAAACTTTATTTGTTACTAATGATCCATTTTTTTTATTTAATTCATATAGATATTGGGATGCAAAATCAACTTAATAAAACAAGTGAGGAATTTAAATGTTCATGAACATATAAGTTATAGTTTATTAAATGAAGCTGGAGTTCCAACTCCTAAATTTGGAGTTGCAAAAACTCCAGATGAAGCAGCAAAACTTGCTGCTGACTTAAAATCTAAAGATATTGTTTTGAAAGCACAAGTTTTAGCTGGTGGCAGAGGAAAAGGACATTTTAAGGGAACTAATATAAGTGGTGTGAAAATGTGTGAAACGTAAGTTATTAAATGCACAAAAATAATTATGTTTTATATTTATTTTATATATTTTTATTATATATATATGCGTGTATATAAAATAAATAAATTTTTTTTTATAGACCAGAAGAAGCCAAAAAATTAGCCAGTCAAATGTTAGGAAAATTACTAATTACTAAACAAACAGGCGAAGCAGGTAGAATATGCAATGCAGTAATGGTAACACAACGCATGTTTCCTCGTAAAGAATATTATCTTGCTGTCATGATGGAAAGAGCTTTTGGTGTAAGTTGTCAAAATATATTTTTAATTGATAAAATAAAATAGTTTAAAATAATTTATTAGAAAAATTTTCTTATTTAAGGGTCCAGTCATTATAGCATCAAGTCAAGGTGGTGTAAATATTGAGGAAGTTGCTGCAACAAATCCCAGTGCTATTATGTACGAACCTATTGATATTTACAAGGGTATTACAAAAGATCAAGCAGAACGTATTGCTATTAAACTTGGACTTCAAAATGTTAAAGATTATATTTCTAATATCATTGTGAATTTATATCAAATGTTTCTTAAAAAAGATGCTCTTTTGCTAGAAGTAAATCCTCTGGCAGAAGATGTTAATGGAAAATGTAAGTTCAACTCATAAGAAATTTTATATATTATACAATGTAATATTTGAAGATTTTATTTTTTATCTTTAATATATAGATTTTGCTTTGGACTGCAAATGCAGATTTGATGATAATGCTGAATTTAGGCAAAAAGAATTATTTTCCTTGAGAGATTGGACTCAAGAAGATACCAAAGAAGTTGAAGCTGCTAAATATGATTTAAATTATATTGCACTTGATGGCAATATTGGTTGTATGGTAAATGGAGCTGGTTTAGCCATGGCTACTATGGATATTATAAAATTACATGGAGGAGAACCAGCTAATTTCTTAGATGTAGGTGGTGGTGCATCTACATCTGCTGTGAAAGAAGCATTTAAAATAATTACATCTGATTCACGAGTAAGTTATATAATATAAAGATATATTGTATATTATATATATATTATATATATTGATATATATTCATTTAATATTAATAAAATTAATATGTTCTTCATTTATTCATAGGTTCATGCTCTTTTAGTCAATATATTTGGTGGAATTATGAGATGTGATGTTATTGCAGAAGGAATCATTGCTGCAACAAAAGAACTTAGCTTAAAAATTCCTGTTGTTGTTCGATTACAGGTATAATTTTAAAAATATAATAATATTTTTTTTTATTGAAGTTAATAATTGAAATATAAATTTAATTTTATTCAACTATTTATATATTTCATAATATATATATATATATATTATATAATATATATTTCAGGGTACAAATGTAGATGAAGCAAAAGCTCTTATCGCGAATGCAGGTTTAAAAATTGTACCAATTGATGATTTGGATGAAGCTGCTCGAGTCGCAGTTAAATTATCAACGATTGTCAAATTAGCACAATCTGAAAATCTTAGCGTTAATTTTGAAATACCTTCAATTTCATAAATTTAGTAAAAATTATAATTTGCATATTATGAAAAAACTACAAGAATATATTTATATTACTAAATATTTGAAAATAATAACTAGATTAATAATTTCAAATTATTATGTTCAGTTTTTAAAATTATATTTAATTACTTCATATATTTCTATTATAAGTAAAGCGAAAAAAAATTTAGTGAAATTTTCTCTTACTCAATATTTGGAATATTTTTATCTTCTTTAAAAAAAGAAAAAGAAAAAAATGAACATACTTTTTTTATAATTTTAAATGTTGCATATTAAATATTGCAGACTATCTATTCAAAATTAATATTATTTATTTCTCAATGCAAGCACAAATTCTTTTTCAAAAAATATATAAACTTCTTTAAAAATGTAATTTATTGTTTACCCAATTAATGGGTTTCTGTGATTCAGTATTAAAATTAAGTTACATAATGTATATTAACTGATATAATATTTTTTGCATGAAAGTGTACTTTATATTCTTTCATATAAAAGTCATATATTGATATTAACAAAGTATATGTTTAAAAATGAAATCTTTTATATAATCATTCACAAAAAATTATTATAATTAAAATATTATACGAGATATAATTATTATATCTCATTTAAAAAGAAAAAAAGGGCCTGTTATGTAATATAGACACATGTAGTTATATATACATATATATATATATATATATATAAATTATTTTATGTAATTTTAATTTGTTTTTATTTTATTGATGAATCAAAAGTTATTCTCAATTCCCTAATAATAATTACAAAATAATCAAATTACAATGTAGTATAATAGTTCAATTATAACATGATATGATTACATAGTAAAAAAAAAATTATATCATATTGTTTGCATTTACATTTACATAGATATATATACAATATATATGTACATTACAAAATATACTATATATACTATATATTATAAAATATCATAATATAATTTAATTTATTAAAAATAATTTGTATAAAAAAAGTTTATTAATGAGTAAAAATGTATAATATTCAAATATGATATAAAAATATAAAAAATAAAATTTTAAATATTCCTCAAAGGAATGCAAAATTATTTGAATATATTTTTGCTTAAATGAAATTGTTACAATTCGCAATAATTCTCTTTTTTAATAAAAAAACTATTATATGTTATAATAATCTGTAAATTTATCTGTATATTTAATATAAAAAATTTAAAATAAACTTACTTAAAACTTAAATAAATTTAAAAATATATTTGATATAATATTAACTTATATTTATGTTAAAGTAATATTTTTGATATACTAAAACATATTTTATATTATATAATACATACATATTATATTAATATGTTTAATTTTAATTCAAAATAGATAAATTTGATGCGTTTTAAATTATTTTTTGTTTTTAATATATTTGTTTTTAATATATGATTTTTTTTATGTTGGCTTTCCTGTTTAATGTCACCTAAATGTTCGATTGGTATTAAGAATTTACGATTCATTTTGAATAAGAAAACGTATAACGTATAAAGTAACGAAATATTTATTATAATAAAAAAAATTTAATATTATTTATCTTTATTTTTTAAAG